GAAACCTTATTGAAAATTCTCAATAGAAACTTATTCACATCCACGACCACAACAACTCATCACACCTGCGCACCGTCTTTAATTCCTGAAAAAAAATGATAATAGTGGGGCGTGAGTACTAATCAACTGTACTCCGTAAAAACCCATACTAAAGTAAACAGCAATAATAATATCAATATCATGATCTTTGGTATGTATCTAAGCTTAATCTTTCGGTATCTAACCGATACTTTAACTTGAACTTTGCAACTACCGGTAACTTGGGCCGGTTCTCACGTGATCACATTCTGGGGGTCGCCTCCCATTGAACCCAGTCTTGACTGAGCGAGCTTAATACTTCACTTAACTTTATACATACCTCGAACATGATAATAGCTATTATACTCAATGTAATACCCAGTCTGGGTCCCCACCTTTTCTTGTTGAAAACTTTTGAAAACTGTAAGTTGTACTGATAGCTGTATCTGCAACTACATAAAAATATAAACAAATATACTAAGTACTATACTCATTATACTTACTAAAATACTCGGATACTCACATCTATCAGATAACTTATCCGAATATAAAAGAATACTCTAGAGATCATACTAAGTCCGGATTTAAATTGGTATACTTAAACTGAACCGAAACTTAATCATTTTCATACTCTTCAAACTTTCACATTAATTAATATAATGAGAAAAACTAAAATCATATGTGATAACTCAATTCACCTCATTTGAATCTTAACTTTAACATATGTATTCTCAACATATATATAAAGTTACCATAAAAATATTTCACTTTAAAATAATATTCATATCTTGAGATATATTATTTCAAAGTTGAACTATATCAAAACATTCAATTTACTTGCATACTTGTCTTTAAAAATCTATATCTCATGCTACAATTATCTAAAAATTCTAAAATTTTATATCTTAACTCTCAACTAAATGAAGAAATATTCTGTAAATTTTCCCATAAAAATAATAACCATAAAGTGAGATATGAATTTTCAAATAATGTTTGTCTTACTGAAATTCGAGATTTACTCACTTATGTTCATTATTTTCTATAGCATCCTAAACAAGTACAATAAATATAAAATTTAAACTGGAAGTTTTTAACTAATATATGAATTGACCATAAAATTTACAACTCAAAATAATATCAATAGATAGGGTAATTCAATACCACAAATCATCATTACTACACAGATTTTTCACTGGACAACACCTTAATAAAAGATTTTTATAAAATTTATTTTAACTCCGACTAATCTAAAAATTTCCAGTATTATTCTCAACATAATGATTATCTTATATAAAAATTTTCATAATTTTTAGAACTCAATAGCTTGGTCAAAAACAAACAAACATAGGCTGCAACATCATGAACTTTAAATAATCTTGTTTTATATACTTATATATATAAAAATTATAATTTCTTAACATAACAACATATTAATAACACATATAAACACTTATAATTATTAACTATACTTGATGATATTAAATTTGTATAACATACCTCTTCCAATCTTGAGAAAACAAAGCAATGAAACTTGATTCACATTCTCTCAAAATTGCTCGATTCCTCTCGTAACTACTCGTTTCTTACTATTTCTTGCTCTTTGAATATTTATAAAATTTTTAGTGCTTCTAAAATCTGATTCTAAGGCCCTGTATTTATAGGCATAAGAGCTCTTCATTGTTGATAAAACTCCTCACCAAATTTGCTTAGAAATTAATATAAAAACTTAACTTGAATTAATATAAAAATATGATTTTGATGGCTCATAAATACTCTCTAAAATAGGACAAATATGCTGATTAATGATGATAATAATGCTCCCATAGCTGATATAAAAATTGGCCCCATTTTTATTTAAAAACACTTAGAAAGTTTTTTAGTAAAAATGATGACAAAACATCATTTAATGCTTTATTTATTTATTCATTTCTTAATATTCAGCTCTTAATTTTAAAATAAAAATAATACTTCATAATTATCTTGTAATGTGGTAAAAAAAAAAGAAAAATAAAATTTATGGAACCAAATTTGGACTTAAAACGAACAATTACCTTAAAACCGAAAATTCTAAAAATTTCGGATTTTTCTCTTTTGCTTTTGAATTTTTTTTTTTCCGTAATTACTCTGAGATTGTGATATTTTCTCTTGTAAAAACCATACTAACTTAATATTGAAAATAATTTACTTATCATCTATAAACTATTAATAACTTTTACCG